GTTCTCTGCTATCGCGATGATAAGTACGATTTTTTAAAGAACTATAAAATGTCAGTTCTATATGCGTGATTCTCTCGTTGACTTTTTTATTTTTTTGTTGTATTTTTTATATTTTTTGTATTTTTTTTTCCTTTTTCCTTTTTCTTTTTTTTCTTTTTCTTTTTTTTTTTTTTTTTTTTTTTTTTTTCTTTTACATAACGCAACACGTAACACGTTTTTCTCTCAGTGTAGAGATGCCATTTTAAACGGGATAAATTATTGAGCGCTCTTGTAAATTCGTTTAAAAAATTCATCAATCTTATACATCAACACGTTCGTATTGTCCATTGTCGATCAATAAACGAACGTTTCTCGATATTCGTTCTAATCCTTTACTCATCACTTATAATTCCTTCTAAGACGACCAAAAATATCTTTACATACACATTGATAATCTTTTGGCATCCTTACTAAAATTCTCTTTGCGAAACTCCTCTTTTGTACGATTCAAAGTTCTTAAAGAAAAGGAGAAAAAAAAAAAAGAAAGAAAAAGGAACGAAAAACTAGAGAGGAAAGAAAAAAAAGAAAAGAAAAGAAAAGAAAATTTATATTATACATCGGCCTCTTATCTTTAAATTGTTCTCTCTCTCTTTCTCTCTCTCCCTCTCTCTTTCTTTTTTACAACAAATGAATTTTTTTTATTTTTTTTTTTTTATTTTTTTTTTATTTTTTTATTTTTTTTTTTTTTTTTTTTTTCTTTACGTTCGCTTTTAACAAACGGACTTTACATGTAACACGTTTAAGATATATCGTTAAAATATCGTCGAAGTGAATTCCAAAATATCTCCTTCCATTGTTCATTTCTTATTTTTTTTTTTCCTTTTTTTTTTTTTTTTTTTTCAACAACAACTATCGAAAGTGATTTTTCTTTTCTCTCTTCCTTTCTACCTTTCTTTCTCGTAGGATCTCAAAGAAAAGATACCCAATTCTATCCCCTTTTATTTTGTTAGCGAAGAAAACGTCTTAACGTTTTCCTTTGAAAATTCCCTGAAAATCTTTTGGCCGTTCTTCTATCGTTATATAAGACGTAACTTTCTTATTATCTTGTTCTATTTGTCTCCTACACATTTCTTTCTTGAAACGATCAATTCCAATACGACGTGCTAATAGCAAACGTCCAACCCATTTTTTTTTTTTTTTTTGGGACACGGAGATTCGAGTCTCCTCGTGAAAGGTGCTTCCTCTATTTCAGGAAGTAACGTACAATGCCAAACGGTCGATCTTCAGCCAAAGGACTCTGATCCCTTCAGGTCCATGGTGTGTATCGTGGTCGTGCCGAGTGTCAGAAGGCCGTGTCTAAAGCCGCCATACTCGTTGAAATATCCGGATCGGCTTGACAAGCTTCCAGAAATTCGGACAGTGTCACAACACCGTCCTTATTCCCATCCATTTTCTGAAACATAAATTTTGGGCTGTTAATAATGTGCGGAATGATTCGTTGATTTTAAAATAAATGATTTTATATACCGATGTGATTTTTTCTTTCTTTCTTTCTTTTTTTTTTTGCTTTTTTTTCCTCAAGAAAATAGATATTAATAAAATAAATTGTTTCACATCGATAATTGGTCATTAATCATTGATTCGTTGTTACTTAAATTAAAAAGAGAGAGAGAGAGAGAGAGAGAGAGAGAGAGAGAGAGAGCAGAGCAAATTTATAATTTATAATCATAAGATCCTGTGAATTATTATATCTCTAATAATACACTGGTCACTCGTCTCTCTCTCTCTCTCTCTCTCTCTCTCTAATGCATAAACTATAATCATTGGCTTAAGGTAATAGTTTGAAGCTGATAGAAAATGGCTGTTGAAGATGATTTTATTATAAGTCTGGTCTACTGGTTATCAAACACACAAGATTATATGCTCTATATTGTCTATTCGATCTTATGCAAGATGTAACTGAAAACGAGAAAATTATTTATTATACTAATATGTAACAAAATATTCATAAGCTCTTAACAAGTAAACAACGTTTTTCTATAAGATAAACAAAAGTAATTAATAATAAACGAAAAAATTAATAATAAATAAAATAAAAATAATCTCATTTAAAATTATTTAATTAATAAATACAAACTTTATATTAAGTCCATTCATCATCGAGATAGTTCTTAAATGGAAGAAAATTATTACGTACAATTTAAATTTTAATAAAATAATACTTTTATCTAAATCTAATATACAATTTGATTTCTTTATACGAAAAATATTGAAAGTTACGATTATAATGAATACGGTCAAAATCATTACGATTTGTATATCCATTGAAATTTCGAAGTACTTTCATTATATCAAATTTTGATTAGTTCCGCAGTTACCTATAGGAAAGTGTTAGTGTTGGTAGGTTGTTTATGAGATCCCGCAAAACGATCTAAAAGTCAGCTAGGATTCTTCGTGTTTGGTGTATAGGTACGTGAGATAGGCGGTGGATTTTGCGCCACCACTACTAAATTGTATGACGACAGGGGCGAATCGTGAAATTATTACCGTCCTTTCGCGATAAACAAAGCTCGGCCATGTACACCTCGGTGAAGTGCACTTTGTGGTGGTAGTGGTAGTAGACCATGTAGAATCGTTGTGTTCCGGTAGGCGTGGTTAATTGAAATCGCGCTTTACAACGAGTAACGGTCGATCATCGAAACTTCGGAAATTTCATTAAAGCTTACGACATATGTCACTTTTCAAACCCTTCGGGTTTACATTTTTTCCTTTTTTTTTTTTTTTTCTTCTCTTCTTTTTTCTTTTTTTTTTTTTTTTTTCTTTTGAAACACATCTTTTGCAAAGAAAATATTTACCCTTTGAAAAATCCTTTCGATGAAACTTTTACATTCTTACGATTAATTTTCTTTCTATTATAAAAATATTTCTCTTAAAAAGAATAAATATAGACAAATACGTTAACAACCAGTTTGTTTACTATTTCGTTTGTTTTAACATGATAAATTAGTTGGATCGTTTATTAAAACGAAACATTTATCCTTTAGTAATACAGAACGATGTGGTTATAGATTAAAGATTAAAACGGAGGATCTTTAACCATAGCAAACTGTTCTAAGGGAGCCTAAGATGGACACATAGAGTCATTGTATGCGATTAACGGATGATCGTCGAGCTTAAAGCCTGAATATATAGTCTATATATCATTTGGGTGTGATAACTCGTTTATGTAATATGCCTGTCAAAAAGATACTTTATTTTCACATGGCCCAGTTTTAGTAACATAAAGACCAACCATATTAGCTTTAGCAAAAGGCACAAGAAGGTTATTCATTCGTATTTAACATATGAAAGCCAATGTTCTGGTTAATGTACCGTCAAATAGCTAATTAAATATATCCATTCGATGTGTTAATTGAAATAAATTCACTCTCTCTCTCTCTCTCTCTCTCTCTCTCTTATTTTTTTCGTATCTTTTAATCAACTTAAACATATTTATAAAATGACATGTAATTTTATAAATTTTTGATTTACGATTTTCATCAATGAAATAAAATTTAATAAAATCATTGAATTAAAGAATTTTATCATTAACTCGTTAACAATATTCTTTTAATCTTCTTACGAATTTATTTTATCACTTTAATTTTAATACTTTGTAATTAATCCTAAAGAATTTCTTTCACGAAAGCTCCTACATAAGTTTGAATATATCGATGAACTTTCGAAAGGTGAATTACACGACGACAAATCTGACGATCAACTTGAGAACGAATCGAAGTATCCACTTTATCTACGACATATATAATCTATGAGCGTTTCGCACTTTGCGGTTCGGTCGACCACGCTAATTTGCTTTTACACCCGACGTTAACCGCGATCGGTTCGAGTTCACAGTTTGCATAATTAGATGTCTTTGGTGTGTCGTCGAGCGTAATTTTAGTGTGAAATCAATTCAAAGTAAGAAACTCATTTTGGATCGAACGATCGTCGATCGATCTTCTTCTGATTCTCACGAATTATGCGTTTTCAAAGTTAAACATTAATGACTGTAGAAGATAATAAGACAAATATTAGACAATATCATGCAACATATATTCGAAATAAATATTATCTAATTAGTTACTTAATTCATATCCAAGGATTAATTGTTAATTAAATATATATATATATATATATATATTTTTTTTAATTTTAACTTAACATCGTACATAGTTATAATATTATATGTTAATATTATAAATTTTTTTTTCTTCACATTATATACTTTCCTCTTTTAGATACGAAACGAAAATTGAGTTATAAAAATTTTTTTATGTTACCCCTCTTTGTCTTGTTCACAAAATTGCATCTGTATATAACATTTTTTTTTTCTTTTTTTTTTTTTTATAAAATCTTCCATTAAAATACGATAAATTATTTTCCATTTCAGCAATCGCTATTGATTGTCAATAAAAATATATAAGTTTTTAAAATACAATGATTTAACGTTTGCCTCTTTATTTCTTAAAATTAATTACGCATTATGAAACAGATGGTCCGTTTTTACGATTTTACTTTTCTTTTCTTCCAGTTAGTTTCTTCTCCTTCCTCTTCATCGTTCTTCATCGTTCTTCATTCTCTCTCTCTCTCTCTCTCTCTCTCTCTCTCTCTCTCTCTCTCTCTCTCTTTCTCTCTATCTATCTTTCTCTCTTTCCTTTTTCTTTTACATTCTTTGCACTTTTCGCCACGCCGTCTCCATGTTGCTAACGACCTCGTGGAGTCTCGCTCTTTGACGTGTTATACGTTATACAGCCGGCGGGGTTAAAGAGCATCGCTGAAGAGCGTTCATGTTACGCGCGCATCGTGGTACGAGTGAATCTTTCGCTAAAAGCTCGTTTAGAGCATGGAAAAGTCCTTTCGTCTTGCGTCAAATACTTCATGGAACAACCTTAGAACTCGCTTTGGCCTTTGCGCAATTAATTTATTGCAACCAACGTACGCTAATGTTCTTCGACGATAAAAATGTAAAACTGCAGTGAGTCTTCTTTGGATTACATATATACACTGACTTTTCTTCTTATTCTTATTCTTATTCTTTTTCTTCTACTTCTTTTGCATCTGCTTTTGCTATAATCTTTTTGCTTCTTTTTTTTTTTTTTTTTTTATGTTTTCTTTCTTTCTTTTTTTCGTTCGTCTTCTCCTTCGCTAAGAGAATTACAAAGCGCAAGTATCTTTTCAAAATATTTCTATATCTCCAATGTTAAGTAAATTTCCTTCGAGAATAATATCGTAAGGAGGAAGACCAAAAAAAAAAGAAAAAAAAAAATAAAAAAGAAAGAAAAGAAAAAAAAAAGAAAGGAAGGAAAACAAAAAGATGTAAAAACAAGAAAAAGGTAAAAATAATAAAAAAAAAAAAAAAAAAAAAGATATAAAGAAAATTACTTTGGAAAATACTTTCGATAAGTCTTCATATTCCTTTCAGCACTATGACGATATCAGATTTTAAAAGTATGCATTTTAATTTTACATCGATACAAAAAGTTTAAGAAACTTTGACTCGAATGATCGTCGAATAAAATTGACCTACGTAAGTAACGTCTCTTGCAATGTCCTTTGTACTTTTATCGTAAGATTCTTCTCGGTATATTACATTTTTACATTATCATTGATAGTAGAGAAACGAGGAAAGTACATAATATATTCTTTTTGCTTAAATTATCGCCGAATTATTCAGTACTTTGACGATGAAAGAGAGAAAAAAACGAGAACAGAGAGAAATACGAACTTGAATTATTCAAATTCTTGACGGTGTTTCGAAATTCTTATATAGAAAAAAAAAAAAAAAAAAAAAAGAGAAAAAGACAAAAAGGAAAAAAAAAAGAAAAAAGAACAGAGGAGCCAATAATAACTGGAATTTAATGTACGTACCGAAATTCAAATTATAGAATTTCTCAATTAAAATATATCTATAAATTCTCGAGAAAAGTATTCGAGATAGAAAGATAATGAATCGCTGTTTATATATATATATATATATATATATATATATATATTTATTTATTTATTTATTTATTTATTTATTTATTACATATTGACGAAAGGAAACGAGATATAAGAAATAATTCAGATTTCGATTAGAAATTAAATTAACGCGAGAAAATTTGTGTTTCTGTTACGGAGTAGTTTTCAATGTTTATTTTCGCGAAAGAGAAAGAAACGTCGGGGAAAAAAATTGGAAAAAAGAAAAAGAAAAAAAAAGAAAAAAAAAGAGAGAGGAAAAAGCAAAAAAAGCAAAAAAAAAAAGGACAAACAACACAATGAGAGGAAGAGCTTTGGTTCAAGCTTGTTGTTTGGGCTTGGTAGTAGATATAAACGGAATACCACAGGCATTGTCATCCATTGCTAACAATATGACAGGCTGATACAAACAAATCTTCGTTTCTTGTATCACCCAAACCCGTGAGATATTTCCTCACTCTATCTTCTTTTTCGTATTATCATTCTTTTTCTCTTTTATCTCTCTCTCTCTCTCTCTCTCTCTTTCTCTCTCTCTCTCTCTTTTTCTCATCCTCCTGCTCATCCACCCTTAAACACTAGTTTCTATCGTCGAAGCGAACGAGTGGAATTGTCGACGTGCTACGACGTCGATTGTTTCCGCGCACTGTCATTTCGTACATGCCGAACGATGAAGTATTGATCGTCCAATCTTCGAGTTTCTACGTTGAAAACGGATTCTAGAAAATGAGATGAAACTTTTTCCAATCCCTTTGATTATTCCCTTCGATATAAATTAATCGTGATTATTTCACACGTTACTTATTTATGTTTGCATAATTTCCAAATCTGTTAGGATAATTTGTTTAAGAATTGAGAGCAACTTATTTATAAAAAAAAAAAAAAAAAAAAAAAAAAAACAAGGGAAAAGAAACAAAGAAGAAAGAAAAAGGGAAAGTTTTCATTTCGAAACGAAATGTTCATTTGAAAGCTTATTCTCCTTAAAAGCATCTTAGTTCTTCGTTTTCTTTACTGGTAATCGGATGTAAGGAAACGTCAAAATGGCTAAATGAGAGCAGTCCTAACACCTCGAAACTGTTCCAACGTGGAAGGCATTCCGCGTAACTAAGGTAACTCAATTTTCTCGGTAATTCACTTAAAGCGCGGTGTCTATATTTAGATAGCTGTTAGTACCGCTGTCTGACTATAGCAAGGACTATTACTACTGGCGGAATGTCTTCTAATACAACGTTTGCACGTTTAATTCTTATCAAGAATTAGTCGTAAGTTTTGATAATTTAAACAATGTACGATATGACGATAATCATTTCGAGATTTTCGATGAATTTTTCTTTCTTTTTTTTTTTTCTTTTCTTTTTTTTTCTTTCTCCATTTCCTCCGACCACCGTCCCCTGGCTCCTTCTCTCACCCACTCCTTCCCTCCCCCCGCCCACCCACCTTTCCCACCCTCTTTGCTTTTCTCTCTATCACGTATTTCTCACCTGAAACATTCGGTCGACCTTTTCTCTTACGCCCTCGTGGTCCAACGTTGGATCAGCAAATTTTCCCATGAGCTCGTAGACCGCGGTAACAATGTCCGTCATTTCTTCTCTCGTGATACAGCCGTCCCCGTTGATGTCGTAAAGGGAAAATGTCCAACGTAGTTTCTCGTCTATCGAGCCACGTGATAGTATGCTGAGTCCGATGACAAAGTCCTACGGTTATAAAAACGAAATTGACCTTTTTCACTCTCTCCCTCTCTCTCTCTCTCTCTCTCTCTGTCTTTCTTTTCTCTTCTTTTTTTTTTCTTTTTTATTTTTTCTTTCCGAAGACGGCGTAAACATTTTGGATTTATCGAGTGCACTTCTATCTTCGGCGTTACCTACTCTACTACTGTGCGAACCAAAAGAGGTACTTCGTAAAAAAAAAAAAAAAAAAAAAAAAAAAGAAAAAAAGAAAAAAAGAACGTGGCAAGTAAAAGTGAAGATCGATGTGCTCTTTCCACCAATGAGATCGTTTTTCTACGAATGAACTCGCGAAAAAAATGTATGGAAGTTTCGATGTAATAGATCGAAATGTTCGTTCTTAATTTAACCGGTAACCGGTAACCAAGTGCTCGTTATGGAGCATCGTTTTTCAAACTTTACGATTGGCAATTAGAGAGTTTCTTAGATAATGAAATATAATAAAAAAAAAAATATATGAATATATATGGATTACGGTATTGCTTTTTCACGGTGGATCACATAAAATTTATAACCGACTGTTTTATGAAACTTTCGATAATGGGATAGATGACGACGACGACGACGACGACGACACTTGAATTGGAATCATTGTTATAAAAAAAAAAAAAAAAAAAAAAAGAAAAAAAAAAAGAATTTTTATTTTTTAATTTTAATTAATTAAATAAAAATTCTCATTCTAATGGCATCGAGACATATTGAATAAAGTTTTTAATAATACGATATTACGTTTTTGGGAAAACGTTTTGTTATTAATAACAAAGAGAAATTCTAATTCGACGTAGAATTAAATGAAAACGGGGTCAAAATAATTATACCGTTTACTCTTTGAGTATCAAAGACAATGCGATAATACGATATCTATCTATTTCTTACGATAAAGTTGCTGGTGAAGTTGCCGAATGGGAATCGAATTGAGGAAAATGTTAAGACTATGGTAGAGTGGAAAGGATTATTAGCGTATAATACGAGTAAACCACACGCGAACGAAAGAGGGATTACGAAGGTGAATGCTTTTCACCGTTCTACTCTAATAATTAATATGGAAATGCGGATAGTAGGTACTCACTTGTAATAGAGAGGAAGAGAGAAGAAAACATATATATACATATAGAGAGAGAGAGAGAAAGAGATACAGACAGATGAATTGCTTCAGGCTTTCACGTAGTTTCCATTGTAGGACTTATTCGTATTTGGCTCGATCACGCTACGATTTCGTCGTTTGCGAGCTTTTACGTTCGACAATACGTTTGCTTTTCTTGCACGCGGAACGTTTCTCGAAAAAGAATTGGTTAAAGTGTTTGTGGTTACGAGTCGTTGAGTTTCCGAAGTGCTTTTACCGGATCAAAACGCGCTTACGTCGTAGCCGTTAGTGCATCCAAATTGCGTTTCGCAATGAAAAAAGGAATCAAATGACTGGGAATCGAGCGCGAAACAGAGTGCTGGTTGAATAAAACGGAGAAACGCGCTATTTTTTTTCTTTCTCTTTTATTTCTTTTCCTTTGTTTTGTTTTTGTTTTTGTTTTTTTTTGTTTTTTTGTTTTTTTGTTTTTTTTCTAGAGTTTCGTAAAAATCCTGCGCGGGATTCGTAACGGCTTGATGAAACATTTACATAAATATTAAAATCAGTTAGAAATTTAAATAAATATCCAAGTCAAATAAATATTGAAAATTTTCTTTTCAAATCTCTACTGTTAAGTTAATTCGCGTCGTTAAATAACATTTATTCGTATATATTTTACGTAAATTATTTCCCCGTTTCGTTCGTATTACAATGAAATATTAGAGATCGGGCGTATAAGATTGAATCTAGAGTATGTGAGAAATAGAAGTAGAAGTAGAAGTAAACGTAGAAGTAGAAGTAGACGTAAAAGTAGAAGAAGAAGTAGAAGAAAAGAACAAAGATATATATATATATATATATAAACTAAGAAAAAAACTGTACCAAGATACGTACAAGGTAGTGCGCGCGTAAAGTCGTCGAATATCGTGTAAATTACGATGGAACAGGTAAAGCTGGTCATAGATCGTTGCCGTCGACACTTAATCTTACTTACTTCCGGCAGTCAAACTTTCCTAGTGGTCCTTTGTTTCATTGGTTCTCTCCTTCTACTTACGCGTCGACTCCGATATCTTATCTCGTTATTCATCCTCACAAACTCAATCACATCTCTCATCCTATTATATCTTTATTACGTTTATTTAACTCTAAGCATTTATTGTTAACAGAATCTAAACGAATTCGACTGTATTCAATGAGTAAAACTCATTCAAGAGATAATAAAATGACGAATAAATTTACGAGATCTAGACGACCTTGTGAAATTAAACGGACAATAAAGAATCATAAATTTTCATCTAAAATAAACGATAAAGAAGAACGATATTTCCTTATTAAAAACGTCTGTTGGTGTCAGGAAACATTACGATATCGTACGACCATTTCATTCGCCGCATTACGAGCTCGGCCTAATTATTGGACACAATCTGCTACGCAAATAATGCAGGATAATCCTGGGAATATGGTGTGTCTTGTCGTCGTCTATCGTCCTTGTTATTTCTCAGTTCACTAATGTTAATACACAATGCAAGAGGAAATAGAAGAGCGATGAATGAGCGAGAGAGAAAGGACAATATACCCTTGTATAGATACAATGAAGTTGTTTTACTTTTTTCTTGCACAGTTAACAATTTACTACTTGAAAAAAGTTTTCTTTTACGTAATTCACATGTACACAATTATTTTATTATCTTTATTTCTCTCTCTCTCTCTCTTTCTCTCTCGTTTTCTAATTCTCGAAAAATTTTTGCAATTATCGTAGCATTCGATGAGCAAATCTCGAATGTTAAGCTATCGACGAAACGAGCCAAATAGATTCGTGCAGATTTCCGAATTTAAAGGCAACTCGCGTATTGTTAGGGCATAGGCACGCGTGAGCATAGTTTTCCTACCGGTGTAATCAAATGCTATATAACGTCAAAGTAGGAATTCCCAGTCCGCAAATACACCGATCGCGTTTACACCGACCTTAACGGCAAACAGTCGTTGTCGGTCAGAACAAATAGTGATTGTTGATTCAGGTCGCTGTGATTATGTCGAGAGAAAGAGAGAGAAAGAGAGAGAAAGAGAAAGAGAGAGAGAGAGAGATAGAGATAGAAATAGAGATAGAAATAGAATAGACCAATAGACAAGAAGAGTCACGAAACGGAAGTCTCCATGCAAATTATTTGCGAGTATACTGAAATCCAAATCAAACTACTTGTTCCGTTTGTGTATAGACGATCCGATTGAGATAGAGGATAATGTTCAAATTACTATTATTCCTTGTCGTTAAAATTTTCTAACAAGATCCTAGTTTACAGTCGTTGAACTAAGAGCAATTGGATATCATCGTATGATGAAGGGTCAATGAAAATGATGAAAAAAGTTGATGAAACTGATAAAAACGAGGTATAATTTGTTATTAGAGGAAGGGACATTCAAACTTAAAGCTTATACACGAAAATGCTTTCTAACCTCTTGGCCCAGATTCACATGTGAACTCCGCGGATATGCAAATGACTTTGATTCTGTTATTCACCCCCTTCCCCTCCCCCCCCCACCTCCCTCCGTCCCATTCCCTCTCTACTTACTATCACTCTTTGTCTGCCTGCTTGCCTGTCTCTCTCTCTTCTTCTCTGTATACCGCCTTCTCCGTTGTTTGTCTCCATAATTTCAGGTTGGCATCCAGTTAGAAAGTGTAAGTTCAAGTTACGGAATATTAAGTAACGCCCATGCCTTCGGCCACTACGAAAATGTACTATCAAATTGTGTTATCGATATAGTTCTCTCCTTGTTATGGACTTTTGATAATAACATTGAATTTTAACAGGACGACCATATATTAAATCTATTTGTATACGTTACTCGTGTGAAAGTGAACGAACGATCTCAAATGTGACTCCTTTATTCTTTCTCGTTGTTTTTATAAATATCTAGAAGATCATTTGTTTTGTTTACGTTGGACTAAATCGTACTATACTTCTTCGTGAAACGTAAAGAATTGAAAATAAATGAGTATTTAATTGAAAAATTTTATCATGGGCAATAAAATTGCCTACTTTTGAAAAGGATACTTTTTTATGCGTTCATTCGATTCGCTCGTAGATAAATTCTTGATACCAGATAAAAAGAGAGAGAGAGAGAGAGAGAGAGAGAGAGAGAGAGGCAGACAGACAGATAGATATAAACATAGAGAGACAGAGAAAAAGAGAGGATAAAAAAAGGAAAATGATTTGAAAAATTCGAGGCTATATTGCTTTCTCCCTCTCTCTCTCTCTCTCTCTCTCTCTCTCTCTCTCTCTCTTTCTCTCTTTCTTTCTCTTTTTCTCTCTTTATCTCTCTATGCAATTTCGAGTTTATATATTTTCACGTTGACAGAAAGGCTAGACAATAAAGCGAAGATAATTGCTTTTCTGTGGGACTATAGAATCTTTTTAATTTCGGCATCTACGTAAATTGTTATTCATTTGAGAGCTATCTAATGGATTTGGAAGATAGTCGAATGCTCGAATGATGACGAGATTGGATGATTTTCGAGAGCGAACACGTTAACGTATTACGACGGAGGAGCTTTGCAAAGGCGAAACATTGTGCTTGCAACTTTGAAGCTACTTTAGACACTGAGACTGACAGAGAGAGAGAGAGAGAGAGAGAGACAAAGAGAGAGAGAGAGAGAGAGAGAGAGAGAGAGAGAGAGAAATGTCAGAGAGTAGGGAGAACGCGGGTAATACGATTAAGGATAAGGGTCAGCGGACTTTACGCGGGAAAAGCACATTGAATAGTAGCTGTAAGATGAGATGAAAAAGAGAAAGAGATAACAATAGTAAAGAAGAGAGTGGAAGATGGCACTGCAAGATGGACTAAGACTTTGGAAGATGGAAGAATCCTGTTGGTTGGCAGGAAGAGAAAAAAAGAGAGAGAGAGAGAGAGAGAGAGAGAAATCGACCAGGAAAAGTACGATCTTTGGCGACTGGCTATCGAGGTAATCTTTTTGGCATTTATAGACTTTAGGGACACCCATTTTATACGATTCGAGTTTATGGGGGTCGTCGTAAGAAGAAGGATCGAGGAGAAGAACAGATAAAGGCTCTTCTAAATACGTTATAAATAAGAACGAAGTGACCGTGTTGCATTGTACGAGGGTCGAACGTTTCTTATGGACGTTAGAAAAGAAATGTGAAACTGGAGGATCCTGGAAAAAGAGTTTTTTTTTATAGTAACACTCTGCTACATACATATCTATATCTATATATATATATAAATATATCCATATGTATATATATGTACTTGTATGGATAGTAGGTACGTCGATGTGAAAAAAATAAAATCGACATGGAGATGTGTTTTAGAAAGATCGATAAAAATCTTGAGATATGATGTTTATAAAAAAACATACTTACTTTTGTTATATCCGCGAGCGAATCTATGTCGACTTAATTAAATGAGACCGGATAGGAAAGGTTAATACGGAAACCTTATCGCTCGTAAAAGGAAAAAAATGTTGGCGATGGTGAAAAATATGAAAGACTAAATGGAGACCACTGAAGGTTCTGCCAGCTTGAGGCAACTTCACGGGTTAATTATACAAAGTACAATCACGATCTCGAGCTACGGAAGGTAATTGTGTTAGTCCTCCTTTCCACTCTCCTATCTATCCAACTACTTACCAAGCCTCTCACTATCATTCCCATAATTATCTACCGACAATTTCCCTTTGGCCCCTCTTTCATATATTTCTTATTCTTTTTCATTTTCTTAATTCCTTTTCTTTTTCCTTTTTTTCTAATTTTTTTTTTCTTTTTTCTTTCTTCTTTTTTTTTTTTTTTTTTTTTTTTTTGTCTTTTTCGTATTCATCTCGTATCACGCGTTAGGATTATTAAAATACATAAGCGAGGTTTGAAACGAATACTCTTACAATTCGCCCGTTGACATCTCGCTTGAAAGCACACATCCATCGTCACGACTTTCAAATGCATTTACGAATCAAACAATTTTCGTGTTATTTCCCAGGTGTATAAAGCTCGGATTTCGTTAAAACGGGTCGTCCGTTTTAGGCCGATTTGTGTAATAGTTATAGATATATAAATATTTCTATTAAAGCTGAAATATTTAACACCGCGTGGATGTAACATGTGCATATTTCAGTTACTTTTTATTCTAACTATAACGGATCAATTATTTTCTTTTATTTATTTTCTTTTTCTTTTTTCTTTTTTCTTTTTTATTTTTTATTTTTTATTTTTTTATTTTTTTTTTTTTTTAGCGATTAATTAAGTATTCAAAAGCGTTTAAATTTAGTTTACGTATGTTGGCGATCTCCATTGGGATGGGACATTTTTTTTCCCCCAAACAAACACGGGAAAGCTTTTCCCTTTCATGCGATTTGAATTATTCGCGTCGTTCAATGCGATTTACCGGAAAAGAAAATCTCTTCAGAAAATTGTATTTGAATAATTGGGCAAGAAGGGTTAGAGAAGAAGAAGAAAATACTTAAGCGATTTCAAGTTGCGAATGAAAAATTGCATCGAATGCGATCTGTCATTCGTCGAATGCTCCCTCTCAGTGCAGTGCCTGTCCTTTTTTCATATTTTAACACCGGACCTATTCTGGATGCGCGATAAGAGTGCCAAAAAATGCACTTTCAGCTGCAGCTGACGTTCTACGTGCCACAATGACGGAACGAATAATACGAGAGTGCGAGCAAGAACTATGACAAATGGGATGCGAGCTTACCTCGAAGCTGAGTAGACCACTGTGATCTTGGTCCAGAGTGTTGAAGACATAATGCGCGTACTGGCTGGTGTTTGCTGTGCAAAGAAAATCGATGATCAGAATATATATATATATATATGTATATATATTAATACTTTTCTTAATATATTTAAATATTTTTTAATATATCTAAATATATAAGATATATATGTACGTATAGAATATATACAGCAATATAAAATATAATATGCAGTATATAAAAATAATTTTTCTTTTCACGTTTGAATTTTATTTCGATGTACCATCACGTATTTAATAATAATCCTTTATCATGAAATTAATTATTATAACGAAATGTCAATATTTTTTTTTTTAATTTTTATTATGCACGAATATTCGAAATCGATATTAATTACGATGGAATTTTGTTCGACCGACTTTCTAAGAAATATAAAAATACTTTGACTTTGGTAATGACTTTGATGGGTTCTTCGAGGAAATGGAGAGTTGGCCTTAATAAGAACTCCAATTTCCTAAGCTAAGTAACAAGCTGATCCATTCCTTCTTAGATGATCTTTCAAGATCGATAAGTTAAAATCGTCTAAGAATAGAGATAGTTACTAAACTTATTATCCCTCAATACACTTTGATAGTTCCTCGTTGAGATGAAATCAATTCTCAATGCTATTTACAAACTTAAATGATTTATAAACGAAACAATCGTTAGTAAATATTCATACTGTATTTATCTATCTATTTTCCCTTGAGGAAAATACATTAAATCTTGAATGATCTCTTTCGATGTACTATTATATAACTGTTATATAAAGGATCACAAAATTATCCATTGATCCATCAATATTTAGATATTAATAATAAACGAGGTATATTAAATTATTTTTACAATAATTCTAAATAATGATTAAATTTCTATTTAATTGCATTAACGATAATTTTTTGATATAATTCGTTCGATCGTAACGAATAATTTGTCTTCTTATCATGTCAACTAATTTGTATTATCATAATCTATATTTATTCTCTTATTCTCTCTCTCTCTCTCTCTCTATTTTTCTTTCTTAAAATATCACGCGAAAGTCACAAAATAGATTAATCTGACTAAGTTCACAATTCTTCAAGAATCACATATCAACTCATGCGGAATATTACTGTTGTCGTTTGGTGTCGGAACAGAAAATTACTTTCCATCTTTATGACCCCAGGAGGAAATAACGGAGACCCTGAAAAAACAAGTTGAGGGTTTGGTCGACGTGCCTGGAATAGAAGTCCCGAGACGTGAACTTTGGCTATTCTAGAATTTCTCATTCACATGGTAGAAACAAGGAAGGAGAGAAAGAATAAAAAGGAAAAAAGAAAAAAAAAAGAAAAAAAAAAAAAAGAAAAAAAAAAGAAAGAAAAACCTTAAAAGGGGAAGAATCTCTAAGAGAATGATGAATCGATCATAGAAAATATCGATTTCCTTTATCTACTTAAAATGGGTAAGTACATATACATAAGTAATTATTAAGAGATAAGTTATCTTACGATAATTTAATAATGTTACATCGATTAAATAAATATCGAAAGTACAAAGAAAACTTCGTATTATGAAGAATGATAGTATCGCGTTGAATGTGATATTCTTTTTCAAGGAATTCATTAATTAGTCCGATCAAGATTATAATAGGCAGATAAAAGTGGTAAAAGTATATATATATATATATATATATATATATATATATATATATATACATATGCATAAAATACGCTGACTATAAAGTACCCATAAAGGGTTTATTCAAGGTGAAAGACTAGGACAGCTTGAAAAATACGCGGACTTTTTTTTTATCACTTTGAGACGTGTTTCACTTTAAGAATGAAATTTATGTCTACATTGAAAAAAAAAAAAAGAAAAGAAAAGAAAAGAAAGAAAGAAAGAAAGAAAGAAAGAAAGAACAATACCCGCGATTTTTTAAAATTGCCTTAGTACGAAAGAATTATGATGCCATTATAATGTCTCAAAGATAGATAAATAAATAAAGAATGAATGAAATAAACAAAAATAAAAGAGCATGTTCTTACTTAGAAACATTGCATATCCTTCGATGAGTTACAATAGAAAGAAATGAAGTTTCTGTAAAGAGAGAAAGAGAGAGAGAGAGAGAGAGAGAGAGAGAGAGAGAGAGAGAGAGAGAGAGAGAGAGAGAGAGGGAGAGAGAGAGGATTAACATTGGCGTTGCGATCGATACGTTGCGTTTAATTTATTCCGCGGAATATGTTTCAAAGAAAGCAAAAAGATACTCTAACTACAAGTATGCACCGTACTAAAGAAAATTTATGCAAGGTCGTCGAAAAGCTCACCATTTTTCTATGCAATATCTTTCTTTTCCTGAGATGGGGGAGAGGAGATGAAGGAATAGGATGAAAGAAAGAAAGAGAAAGAGAGAAAGAAAGAGAGAGAGAGAGAGAGAGAGAGAGCAACGTTACGAATAAAATAAATTTTCAGAAATAGTCGAGATTTCTCGTTAGGAAAATACCGATTTAAGAGTTTTACTAAAACTCATAAAATGACGAGTTTCCGAAATAAGAGACGATGACGTACGACGTGCTTTTACTTCCAAAAATTTATCATCCTTATCTGGTTACCTTGAGAATAATTTGCAAGAAGTACGAGATGAAGAATCGAGAGGGTGAAAGAGATAGAGGGAGAGAAAGAGAGAGAGAGACAAAGTTTCGATAACGGATTAGTCCAGAAGCTAGACGACAATAAATTTATGTTCTTTTTTTTCTCTCTCTCTCTCTCTCTCTCTCTCTCTCTCTCTTTCTCTATTTCGTAAGATCGTTCATTTTATTCGCACATTTGTACTTCCGCAAATGTGTTTACCTGTTCGAACGAACGTAGATTTGTTGATTCACTTGGTTGAATAAATGAATACGTATGGATGGATGATATCAACCCGTTCTTTTCACGATCGACTATGAAATTTAATGCTAACTCATAATTTATCTTATTCGACCCTAAACGAGAAGATCTCGGTAATGTCCTCTTATTTTACTTCAGTATACTTCTATATCTATATCTATCTATCTATATATATATATATATATATATACATGTATATGTCTCAAGCCAGTTTTCTCGTGGATATAAATTTTATTTCACGTACTACCGAACACACTCTCTCTCTCTCTCTCTCTCTCTCACTCTTTCTCTCCCTCTCTTTCCTTCTTCTTTTGAAAGGCTACAGATAAGTACAGAAATGTTCTTTTTGCGACATGAGATCTTCCACAAAAGGGGACATACTTTTTCTTTTTTACGGTCTACCGAGTTCTAGCCAAGATTTTCCGCTGTGGTACTTCTACTAACGCGCGTACAGAGTAGACGTTATTAAAAGCGAGGAACAAACGGCAGCTGTTAGCGACATTAAACGTAACTTTCGTTACGGTTTCTACTCTTCTTGTCCAAAATTATTTCTATCTCTGAGAAAGAGTGAGAGAGAGAGAGAGAGAGAGAGAGAGGAGGGGAGTGGGAGAGAAAAAAAGAGAGAGACATTAAAGTGTTAGTGTTACGTTGAAACGATAAAGCGAAAGAGAAAGCATAATTAAGCAATCTAACGATAAAGACAATCGAAATAGCCTTTATGCGCGTTATCACTTTACTCTTTCATTTAACTTTGAATTATATTTTTAATCAAAATTAGATCCTCATTTAACATTTTCTTATCTTGACCCTGTTCAATCATCAAATTGCTTTATAAATTATTATCTTTAATTGTGACTCGTAAATTTTCTCCTTATTTTTAGACGTATTCGACAATTACGAAGGATACAGTGAAAATGATATAATTTTTGTCGTAAATTACAAATTACCGAATGACAACTATTAATTATCGACCTTACGAAGAGTAGCGATAAATGAATTTAATTTATACGCTCGAGTGACGATTACCGAAACATACACACATACATACATACATATATATATATATATATATATTTTATCTACTATAAACATCCGTTAATCACGAGAAAATTTGGAACGTAGCTCCGTTCGTTACGAATTTTCCACACGCTTTCATATTACCCATACTTTGTACAATCGCTAAATGCAATGGCACCGCCATGTCGCTAAGTTACGGCCACAGCGTAATTTTAACAATCTGCTGCTCTCTGGCATCCCATTATTTTTCGTTTTTCCAATGCTTTTCGTTAGAGGCAAAGGACGCGTTAACGCTGCCATTACGAATTCCCTCATCCCTATGTATACGATATTCTTTGGATCTATTCGAAAGAAAAAAAAAAAAAAAAAAAAAAAAAAAAAAAAAGATAAAAAAAAAAAAGAAGAAAGAGAAGGAAAGAAAAGAAAAAAAGAAAAAGATAAAGAGCACAAAGTTACGAGACTCGTGGAATTTCGTTCTATTCTTCTTTTGAATATGTATCGTACAATTTCTGCATTCTCTCGTCTCGATTAATTTTTTTTCAAGAAAGAAAATAACATTCTTTCAATGTATAAAAGTCGACAGAATCGTTCCGTCATATTTTTTCTATGGAAAATTGAAAAAAATCGTTGATATATACACACACACACACACCCATATATATATATGTGTGTGTGTGTATTTTTTTTTTCCGTTGATAATCGCGCATAAATGTCGTAAAACATTGTTAAGAATTTGAATGCGCGTGCTACGAATAAATAAAGGCTGATTAGGTCTAGCAAGGTTATTCGAGAGAAAGTGGAAGAGCCTTTTAGCAAGATAAATTTTACTTTGGCTTGAACGAAAAGCTTGTGACTTAAAAACCCATTCTGTTGCCTCAACCGATCGAAGGAACGAATAAACAAGGAATACAAGCCGCTGTTAAAACTACCTTACTTTATTCTTTCCTTTTTCCTTTGGCTCCGAGTATACCGCGAATATTCAGGCACGCGCTTTGGGAAACAACGTAGACGCTTTTCCTTCCGTAAATAATGCATAGTATCCGCTCGGAATGAAGGAAGGCAAAAGGATGAGAAGAGCCCCGTTGGTCCCTATTTTCAAGCGAGTTTTCCTTTTACCGAAAACCTCCACTTGACTCGGCTAACCTCGAATCGACCCTAATGAAATTATTTTTCTTAACTGTGCCAAGGGATAACAAAAGAATTGTAAATTGAATATAAAATGTCTGAAAAATATTGTCCGTGTTCTCTTGATATTAACGACGTTAGAACAAATTACGCAATATCTTTTAATTCGACTTTCTGAAATACGCTAATCAAAAAAGAAAAAAGAAAAAAAAAAAAAGAAAAAGAAAAGAAAAAAAAAATAATCCTATTAAATAAGTTACGACGTTAGATGAGAGAATAATTTTATATGTTTACAATATTAAATTGTTATTTTTAATGGAGATCATATATGCAATGTACGTGTATGTGTGCGCGTATGTATACGTATATTAATAAATAAAATATAAAATTTAATGTAAATTTGTAAAAGAATAGGTTATATATATATATATATATATAATACGAATTTACTTATCTAATATAAATTAGGAATAGAAGGAACGATGTTTACAGAGCCGAGTATGTCGACGAACTAAGATAGATATACGTTATTGTTTACAGTCATAGCTCACTGTTATGTTGAATAGGTCAAACTCATGATCGATACGTATTATAACAACAATGGAATAATAATGGACCAATAAGAGATTAGTTTAAAATGGATTGGACATTTAGAATGGACCAATAAGAGGTTAATTTGAAACGAACGTGTTTAGAATGAACGTGTTTAAACTGATGCGAATACGTACGTTCGTAAAGTTGGTACATTTTTTAACGATTTATCGCGACAAAGACGATTAACTTTAAGTCAAGTTAAGTAAAATGGAAAGCCGTAGGAAAGTGGAAACTCACCTCCTTGAGGAAAGAATTGCGAGTAGATGCACTTGAAAGTTTCCTCTCTGACGACTCCCGTGGGGCATTCGGCCTTGAAGCCACGATATATCCTCTTGAGCTCGGCCTCTGTGAATCTTGTCGCTCGGCAGAGACTTGCCAAAGAGTCCGGCCTGTATCTTGGCGTTTGCTCTTCTTCGTATTCTGAGTCTGTGAACGTAAAGCGAACGAGTTTCTTGACGAGTTTCAGACATTGGGAACGAATGAGAAAGAGAAAAAGTGATAAAAAATACATACGAAAAGAGAGTAAGAGAGAGAGGGAGAAAGAGGAAGAGAAAAGGAAAAGAGAAATAAATATAAAGAGTGGAAAGAGTAGAGTAGAGTAGAGTAGAGTAGAGAGAGAGAGAGAGAGAGAGAGAGAGAGAGAGAGAGAGAGAGAGAGAGAGAGAGAGAGAGAGAGAGAGAGAGAGAGAGAGAGATAGAGAAACCAAAGAGTCCTATCAAGGGAAGACCTACGAATCTTTCTCGTATAGTGGAGTCTAAAACTAAACATAGAAGGTAGTCTGTAATACGTAGAAATTCTCTAATTAACTAATCACAGAGAGTTAAAGTGCAGCAGTAGTGTAAAGGGAAGCCTTGCCTTCGGACGTTTGCCATAACGTCTGCTTGTCCTTGTGATAAAATTGCGATTTCACACGTTTACACTCGCGTTACGACGAGCTTGGATTAACGTTCATGCGTGGTGCACTAATGAGCCATGTGAAACACGTTTCGAATATAATATGCAGTAATGTCTGAGTCGTGTGTTTCATGTAGATACAGAGTGTATTTATGTGCGTGTGTGCGTGCATGTGTATGTGTATGTGTAAGAGAGAGAGAGAGAGAGAGAGAGAGAGAGAGAGAGAGAGAGAGAGAGAGAGAGAGAGAGAGAGAGAGAGAGAGAGAGAGAGAGAGAATGATTAACACGTTATATAGATCTGTTATATAGGTCAGCCAATTTCTACCTAACTTTATTTTCTAATTTGAAATTTCGTAATGCTACTTGATAACAATAGCAAATTTTCTAAATGTAATTTTAATATTTAAACGAGCTTCGTTCGAAATGACGTTGTCGTCGTTAACGTGTTAATAAATTAATATGAAAAATGTTTACGTTACTGTAAACACGTGGATGAATTTTTTTTTTTTTTTTTTTTTTTTTCTTTTCATTAAGAAAAAGAAATTTAAGAAAAGATTCGTGAAAAAAATTTTCCAATTTTAATTCGTGACAATGTTAGATCATTGTTATTTACCCGCTCGTGAAATATTTCTCTATGAAGAATTTTGAGAGTTGATTCTACGAGAAGAAATAAGCGACAATTTCTAAAGTTCGATGTTAGACGAAAGATATTTTCCTCATATCGTTGGCGTCTTATTTCCCCGGAGGTATCCCTTTTTCTGTTTCGTCGACATGTCGAAACATCGAAGTTACGAACTGTAATATAGGTGGGCACATAGTCGAAGACTCATACGAAAGAAGTAACACGTTTATTGATGCGAAGAAAGAAAGAAAGATAGATAGATGGAAAGAAAGAAAGAAAGAAAGAAAGAAAGAAAGAAAGAAAGAAAGAAAGATTAAAGAGTTAACGAGATAAAAGAGATAAAGAACAAGTGGATAAGTTCTTCCTATCTTTTTAAGAAACTCCTACGACAAAACTTTTCCCACGATTATTGTAATTCGATTAAATCGAGACTCGCAATATTGCACGAGCTTTTGTTCACTCTTGAATAGTATTCTCTTCGTGTTCGGGATGCTAACCACGAAATTCAGACGACTGCGATCGTTCTGAAAAGGAACGAGAGAGAGAGAGAGAGAGAGAGAGAGAGAGAGAGAGAGAGAGAGAGAGAGAGAGAGAGAGAGAGAGAGAGAGAGAGAGAGAGAGAGAGAGAGAGAGAGAAAGTTCGGCATAGATGCTTCTCGTTTGCCCTTTGAAATATCTAGCAAGTTTATGAGTTTACAAAATGAAGAAACTGTCACGCTTGATAGTTATGTTATTAGGAATGTCAAAAGTCAAAAGGATTTTGTGCTTTTGCACTAAGAACAACCATAAGTATATAAGAAAATTGCTTTGTGTTAGGTTAACAGATCTTCTTAGAAACTTTTCATGAACTATAAGAAATTTGTGTTCTTCCTT